AGTGCCCCCACCTTCAGTTACTCTGGCCTAAAACTTGGTTTTAGCGGGGGTATACATACCCACATTCAGTGTGTTAAGGAGTCTTACAGTCCCCGTGACTGTCGGCACCCTAGTCAGAGTCACCATCACCTCTCACCTGGATTTCCCGAGTTCTCTCCTAATTGATCTCCGTTTCTACGCTGTCTTCCATTTATTCACAGTATAGAAGCCAGAGTGATAACTTTTTTCTCTTCTAATCCTCACTCGACATTATTCATTACTTTTTTTTTTAAGGCTTTATTTATTTATTTTTAGAGGGGAAGGGAGAGAGAAAGAGGGAGAGAAACATCAATGTGTGGTTGCCTCTCGTGCGCCCACTACTGGGGACCTGTCCTGAAACCCAGGCACGTGCCCCAACTGGGAATCGAACTGGCAACCCTTTGGTTCACAGGCCGGTGCTCAATCCACTGAGCCACACCAGTCAGGGCCTCATTGCTTTTATTTAGTTATTTAAAAGATTTTATGTTTTTAGAGAGAGGGGAAAGGAAGGAGAAAGAGAGGGAGAGAAATAGATGGGTTGCTTCTTGCACACCCCCAGCTGGGGACCTGGCCCACAACCTGGGCACATGCCCTGACTGGGAATTGAACCAGCGAATTTTCAGTCCTCAGGCTGGTGCTCAATGCACTGAGCCACACTAGGCAGGGCTTTTCATTGCTTTTAGAAAGAGGAAGAGGGAAGAGAAACATCCATATGACAAGAGAAATACTGCTTGGTTGCCTCTCATAAGCTCCCCTAACTGGGGATTGAACCTGAAACCTAAGTATGTGCCCTGATCAGGGATCGAACCTGTATTTTTCAGTGTACAGGACAATGCTTCAACCAACTGGGCTATGCTGGCAAATAATGGTCACAGCTACCCCTCACCCCCAGGCATTTCATTCAGAACTGGGCTACCCTTTTGGTTTGCAGGCTGACACTCAATCCACTGAACCACACCAGCCAGGGCATCATTCAGAATAAAATCAAGGTCCCCAGACAAGCCTTTAAAGCCCTTTGTTGTCTGCCCCCTCCTCCTCTTGGCTCTCTAACTATCCTACATTCCTTTGCTGATTCAGCTTCAGCCACACTATATTGGGTGGACTTCATGTAGGTCTATTGAATACATGTCAGGTCGTTCCTCCCTTAGCATTTGTACTAGCTCTTCCTCTAGGTAGTTCAACAGCAGATTTGGGGTTTCAAGGTGAAAAAAAAAGTTGACGAGTGTTCACAGCAATAAAAATGAAACTATCTCTTGCCTCTCTTCTCCATGCTTCTCTGTTAGGTGGCATCACTAACTCCCTCGGCTTTACCTGCTCTCTAGATTATGGAGATTTCCAATTGTGTCTCTCTGGCTCCAAGTTTTCTTCTTTTTGCTTAAACAAGCTGTGTCTGGCCAAGAGGCCATGAAAACTTGATACTTAAGTCTGCACCCGTGGTTCCTTCTCATTTGGAGAACACCCAAACTCTTCAAACAGGTGTATAGAATTTCTCTTTGAGGGCAGCAGTCATCAGTAAATGCTACTAGTTGTCAAGAGGAAGGGGTCAGGAGAGGAGAGAGGAACTTGATTATATAAGCAGTGACAATGGGGGAAGAGGTCTTGATGTTGCCATTACAGACACTGGTTGAGATTTTTCATGTGCTAGAAACTGGACCTCTGAAGTTTTCACATGAAATTACCCAACCCCTTCATTTCCCTAGGACCTATCATTCCTAGGTCAGTGATGCTGCTGAACTACAGGATAGATGCTCCCTGCCCCCCCCCCCCAAGGAATTATCCAATCCCAAATATCAGTAGTGCCAAGGTTGAAACCCTATTTTAGGTGATTTCACCAATTCCCTAGGCTTTGTATACCATCTGAACCATATGATGGCCATTGGTTGGCCACCACAGTGCCAACCAATATGACAGCAATAGGCACATACAGTACTATGAATATAAAATACCCATTGGATTTCAAAAACATATGAAAAAGAATGTTAAACATTCATTTTTAAATGATTGTTATATATTAAATGTTTTGGGTATATTGAATTAAATAAAATACACTATTAAAGTGATAGTTAATTTCATGTTTCTTTTTACTTTAACATTAAACAAGTTTTTACAGCATTCTCTTTGATGTTACACAAAATAACATTGAGGACCTGCTGTACTTGGAAGCTCATTCTTTGACTTAATACATCAAACCTGGTATGTCTGAAATAGAAATCCTGAATCTCCCTACTCCAAAATAATTTCTCCAATTGTCTCCATTTGTTTAAATGCTATTACCATCTATGTAGCTGCTCCAGCAAGGTTCCTGGTAATCATCCTTGATTCTTCGTTTCTCATTCCCCTAATCCTTAGGATGTATTGTATCAAGTGTTGCCACTGCTGTTCATGTCTTTGTCACATAGTCAAGACCATACAATCATCCCACAAGACTACTATAGTAGCTGCCTCCTGGCATCCTATGTAGTTTTTTTCCCTTCTCTTCAATTTACTCTCCAGTCAGTAGCTGGGATGTTGTTGATAACTATAAATTATATCATCACTCATTAACTTAGAACCTTTCAGCATTGTCCCATTGTATTTAAAATAAAAAGCCACCCTGGCTAGTGTGACTCAGTGGATGGAGCACTGGCTTGCAAATCAAAAGGTTACTGGTTGGATTCCCAGTTAAGACACATGCTTGGGTTGTGGGCCAGATTCCCAGTTGAGGGCATGAAAGAGGCAACCAATCAGTGTATCCCCATGCACATTGATATTTCTTGCCCTTTTCTTCCTTTACTTGCTCTAAAAAGTCAGTCAAGTCTTTAAAATGAAAAGCCACCTTGCTGGTGTGGCTTAGTGGATTGAGTACTGGCCTGCTAATCAAGTTTGCTGGTTCGGTTCCCAGTCAGGGCCACATGCCTGGATTGTGGGCTAGGTCTCCAGTAGGAGGTGCTCGAGAGGCAACCACACATTGATGTTTCTCTCCCTTTCCAAAAAATAAAATCTTAAAAAAGGCAGAGATGGTGCAATGGTTTGATAACCTAGGAGGACCCTTTGAGACTTGGTGGTTTTGTTGTTGGTCTCACAGTTGGGCAAGAAAACAGGAGGGGGAGGCTGGGATCTTAGAAGGACTGAAGAGGGAATGACTGTTCTCTTCCTTGTGGATTCCTGCAGATGGTCACTATTTTCACAGCACCCTGTACATGTTCCTCCATAGCAGTTTTCACAGATGTAATTAAGGTTTGCTTCTCTACTAGAAATTCATCACCCAAATCCTAGCTCAGTAGAAATTCAAATGAACTGAGGAACTTTTAGCATGAGGCCTCAAGGGACTGAAATGGTCTACAGTGAGAAAGTTGGCCTTTGCAAAATAGAAACTTTGTATGCACAACATGCAGTTTTCCATGTCAGAACTGAGGTTTAGAAAAAACTTGTTTTATTCAGCAGTCTTCTTACATTGGGTGAAAGCCACCTTTCCTAGTGTTACCTACTGTGGGCAATGAAAAGATTTTTAAAAAAGATTTTATTTATTTTTAGAGAGGGAAAGGGAGGGACAGAGGGACTGAGGGAGAGAAGCATGGATGTGAGAAACATTGATCAACTGCCTCCCACCTGTACCCTGATGGGGGGATTGAACCTGCAACCCAGGCATGTGCCCTGACTGGGAATTGAACTAAGAGCCTTTCACTTTGCAGGATGATGTCCAAATGAGCCACACTGGTCAGGGCAGAAAAGATTTTCTAAGGGAAAAATATTTGATGATTCTGCAAGGCTTTTTCCCCTCATATAAGAAACTTACTTTACCATATAAACTGTGCTGTCCAATACAGTAGCCAGCAGCCAGCCACATGTGGTTAATTATAAGATAAATTCAGTTTTTTAGCTTCACTAGCCACATTTTAAACTAAGTACTTCATAGCTACAAATTGGACAGCACAGATACAGAACACTGCCAACATTATCCAGTTTTACTGGACAGTGCTGAGGCAGAACTGTTGTGCTAAATCCAACCTTTTCCCTTGCTTACCCTGACAGAAATCAAGATATGTTAAACTGCTGTGTTAGCGTGGGACAGCTGGAGATTTAGGTGAGGCCAGTGAAACCTGTATATATTAACTTCTTCGCCTGATATCTTGCAGATCAATCACAAGGAAATCCCAATATCTTTGCTTTATTTTCCCTTTTTGTAAAACAGGGACAGCTCTATGCCTCCTTGGGGAATGCTGAACCTGAAAGGGCCTTGTGAACTTCACCACCAGTTGGGGTGTATGTACTGACAGGTTAACCTCTCTAGATTGTTGCATCCTACCCCTCCAAAAAGCAGGGAAATATTCTGCTTCACCTATGTCAGGAATACTTTAAGTATAAAATATGTGGGGAAAATGCTACATAATTATATTCACAGGTAGTCAGAATTTACATGCCAACATTTTCATATAGGATACAATAAAAAGCTTAAGTAGGGTTGAGTCCATCATTAAACTTGTTTATGGGGATATAAATAATGGTAATAAAGTAAATGGTAATGGTAGAAATGGACATTTCTAGAAATCTAAAAAAATTCTACAGGACACATTTCATTGCAGAATGTTGTCACTGCCAGTCATAACACCCTCCTTGCTTTTCTGCTCAAAATACTATGTTCTTCTTCTTTTGATCTGCCATAACTATCTTTTTATTTTAGCCAAAGTCTAATCCTAGCAGAATATTAACACCATGGGAAGACTCTTAAATGTACTATGAAGTTGAATGGAGTCAACGTGATAGGTCATTGGTGATGCTCTGGTGTGTCCTTTTCCTAGTGCAAGGTTCTCTCTGTGGGGCTTGCTTCTATCAGTGGAAAGCGCAACTCTGGTTACTCAGAAAGGAGGAGCATATTTACCAGTGTCTCAAGATGCTAGCTAACTTCATGTCACTTACCTCACTAATTCCTTCTATATCTAAATTTCAGACATCAATTCATTTGAATTTTGTAGTTTGTAGCTAGTCACACAAACACAAAAACATACTTGTTAGAAACATTTATTTGTCAAAATATTTTTTTAAAAAAAGTGGGAGTGGAGTAAAACAAGACTAAATTTCAGCTAACGCTGTACCACGATCACAGTTCAGACGAAAAAACAAAACAAATAAAACACCCTGCCCCCCACCCCAGTGGTCCTAGCAGTTTCACAGGATTAGCTTCAATGTTAGAGTCCAGAGCTAACAGAGAAGAGTAAAAGGTTGCTTGCCACTACATGGTCATTTTAAAGGGTAAGATGTTGCAGGTAGGGAGAAGGGTTCAACTCCTAAGGAAAGCGAGATCAAGAGGGGTTCCACTGTACAGGAAAAAGGGGATGCCAGCATAATCCTTACCCTAGGGCTGCTCAGAGGCTGAGAATATAAGAGACTGAAAGGCTACAGAGATTCATATCAGGAGGAAAGAAAAGTCAACTTAGAAGCATTAAATTAAGAAAGAAAACATAGTTGGTCACAAACTCCTTTGTTTACTGAAACATGAAGCAATGGAAACATCCCGGCAAAGGGGACCGCGCGGAGCAAGTTCTCATATATGACCGCAGCCCGAGGGTTCAGTCCACAATTATCCTACCTGAAAGAGAGCACAACACAAGAGGCTTACACAATGCCTGGAGAACAGCTTGGCTCCGAGTGCAAAGGCCCTGGTCCTGTCCTGTATTCCAGAAGAAAAAGAAAGAAAAGAACAAAGCCATGTCAGACTGGATGAAATATATCCCATGTAGTATTACCCAGGAGTCTATTATGACTATACTTGTAGGGCTCTATTTAATAGCTATAATAGAACAAGAAGCAATCTATGTGGTAGACTGCTGTGTTGGTGATAATTATGCATTCCTTATTTTTTTATCCATCTTTTAAGCAAGACAACCTCTGTGATACAAGGCTATTGTCACTATACCAAAGGGCATACAGATATTGTCAAGAACCATAATTTAACTTCTGGGTCCAGAAAAAGTAGAAGATTCCAAGATCTCAAATATGGCAACTACACTATTTATTCTAAATTTGTTTCATTTCAATCTTTCAAAGTAAACAAGTTTTCAAAAATAATCATATGGGGTATCAAGGAATGTTCATTTACCCTCCAATATACACCTCCATGTTAGATTCAGATTTGGAGCCATAATTCTAGTAGTCCCCCTAACTGACCACATCTCCCTTACCAAATCAAGAAAAGAAATCCTGAAATTCTCTAGTTCTTCCACTGATGATGGAAGCTCCAGACACCATTGGCTGGGGCAGGGGGAGTTAACTCACACCAAGCTTCTCTACTTATTACAGACAAAGGGCCAAATCTTGGTCTTGATCTGTGCCAATCGACTTCAAAAGTTGTGATGTTCTTGAATCAGTTCTGCTAGGGTGAGACCCGTATTTGGATTCCCCAACAGTTCTGGAGTATTTCATCCTGGCAGCCTCATTAACATCAGGCTCCTGGGACTGCAACCAACTCAGGGTTATTCAGTCCGTTTGAGGTTCACACCTGGAAGGTAAGTTTCTTTAAAAGTCATCACTAAAAGGTTAGTTGAACAACCACTGCTTATAGTCAAGTCACTTTAAAATACCTATGCAATACCCTTTAAAGATGACGTACACTAATTTAATATTTAACTGTGAAACATAGTTGAGAAACAGAAGTTTTCTGATGGATGATCCCACCTTACTTTAGAGGCATATCCCACTTCACAGCAGATTCAGCTACTTTAAAAGTAAAAATCAATGGCAACTAGTTAAGCAGTAAGGTTATCCATTCATGCACATGGACATACTCTGCTACACAACGGTCTCAGGAAATCCCGGTCTTGTCAATGGCCACACAGGATATCACCTGCCACAAGTTCATGCTTTACCTGCTTCTATGAAAAGGACAAATACCTACTGCTCTGTTTTCTTCTAAACATATACCAAAGGAACCCTGGAAACTCAGTGGTAACTAAGCTTATCCTTGCTACTAGGACTCCCATTCAAGTGATTCTCAATTTCAAGGTACAAGGAAAACCACGAGAATAGAAAGCTGTCATGATACCATGTCCAGTTGGATGAAGAAATTTATCAATCTCTAGATACTCTGTTATTCTTGCCATTCTAACATCTTTGGTATACATTTTCTGATGTAGGAAAAATTAAATTTCCAGGGTCACCACCAATGGGACCTTATACACATCAAAAAATTACCTGGTTTATCTAGTTCCTTTCAAACAAAAAACAAAGATTGCTGGGAAAAACGGGAAGCATCAGACTACACGATAGCATCACTGGCTATACATGGCTTTCGTTCCCATGTAGAACAGGATGCTCTGGATTACTAATTAGGAAAGGACTTCATGGGACAGTGGCATCAAAACATTGTTTTCAAGCATCTTACAAAGTAGTAGTTTCATTAGCCAACTGGAAGTCTAAAGTTAAAGTTCTCACCCTGATGGTCATTAACTCCTGAACCTGTATGCTTCATCTTAAAGTTCCACAGTGACTTTAGTGGAAAAAGAATGGGTTTAGGAGTCCGCCAGACCTGACTTTGAATTCTGGCTCTATTTCTCAATTACCAGATGACTACAGGCGAAGTACTTAACCTCTCTGAGGTTTAGTTCCCTTCTCTGTAAAAAGAGAACATATCCTAAAGGCTTACACATATCTCTGTGTGTAGATTAAATAATAACACAGAGATCACTCAACAAATGTTAGTTCTCTTAACTATGTTTCTATAATCCAGATCTGCTCACACCTGATTAAAGAACTGTAATTTCACTAACAAAAGGAGTTCTCTCAGAAGGAAAAAGATGGAGTCATACACTAAAACCTCAAAAGGCCAAAAGAACCTGACTTAAGGTAGAGAAATATTTAAGACTAACATGTAATTTTTATCCCTTGGATACTACTGTACTGACAACAAAAGGTGGCTTTAGCTTCCCCTATGCAGCATGGGTCTCTTTTAAGGAAACTAAATGGAGTCTCTTAACTGCACCTACCCCACTCTCACCTCCAGTTTTTAAAAGGCTGAGTACCGTGCTCGGTCCACATACTGCTCCCGCTCATACCGGGCCATGTCATATAGAGAATTCCGTGCAGCTGCTGAAGCCTGAGACAGCTCACTCTCTGGCCCATAACCGTAGCCCTCTCCAACTGTGGGGAGCACAGGTGCAGCACGTCGAAGGGGGCTCCTGTCCCTTCCATAATAGGAGGAAGTGGTGGCAGCAGCCATAGGACCTGAGTTCGGCAACAGGTGTCTGTCGTAGGGATCAACAGAAGTGGAATTGAGGTGACTGTTAACAGCTGTGTTCTGGACTTGCGGCAAATGGGACATGTTCTGCTCTGCGTAGTTGTACGCAGAAGCTGCTGCTGCTGCTGCCACTGCCTCATACGAGCGGACCCGGTAACGCTTATAATAGTCCAGTGCTCCATATGCATCGTTGTAATACACGGATTCCCCGTAGCCCACGGTGTAAGGCGTGCGCACTGCTCCATATTGTTCATTATATTGCTCAGTAAAGTCTGCCACACGACCTGTACGATCTACTGGGCACTCTTTGGACCAGTGCCCCTCTTTCCCGCACCGATAGCAGCCGCTCTGGTCTCCCATCCCAGGGGCAGTCCGAAGGCGGCTGGTGGACAATTGCACGTGCATTCGTTTGCCTTGAGGAAATAGATATAAGATTTGTTATAACTCACTGGCATTCTTTATCCTCCCCCAAATAAAAGTAAACTAGTTGGCATAAGACACACACACACACACACACTCACTCTCTCTCTCTCTCTCTCTCTCCTGAGACCCTATTTCATCAATCCTTTCTAAAAGAAGTTGAAGTTTTAATACAGATAAGAGCTAGGAAGTTTGACTCTTCAGAGACCAGTAATACTTTCTACTTACACCGGGCAGAATGGATTCCCTCCTACTTACCTGTCTCCACAACCCCCCCATGTCAATACAGAAATTGAAAGTTTCCACACTTCACTGCTAAAACTGAGATTTTTTTGGGGGGGGGGTTATGAGACTGAGATTTTAACAGTTCAAAACTTGCCAATTCTTCCAAATCAAATACCCAACAAAAAACCTCAGTTACATTACTTTTGGAAAATATCTTACCAACGTTTCCCTGATTTACTCAGGCCACATTAGGCCTGAGCATCTACCACAGCTTAAGAACCACAGCAAACTTCTGTCCATCTTGTTTCTTCCAGTCATTATTGCAGGTGTCACAGAAAGCTATGTTGAGTACACAAATCACACCAGGCTCATCATATGTTTATCTTCAGTACATCTAGAAGTTATAAAGCCCTCCAGATTTTAACCTCATCCCCACTTTTCCAACAAGGGTGACTCTATGCCTACTATGGAAAAGAAAACTACCCGACCAAGGTTTCTCAAGCAAGCATTAGATCTTGAAATAATATTGGTTTCTTAGGGACAGTATATTCCCATGTAATGGAATTATTAGCATTTCATCCTGCCATTAGTTTACAATTCTTTATATGGGATTATCTACTTGTTAGAAAAATACAGCATTTGTCTAAAGCCCTCTGGGCACCCATACAAACAAGACACATCCAGGGAATGGCCAGCACTAGGAACACCTAAGAGAAGAAACAATGTCTGCCCTGGGTTTGTGTACCACCAAGCCCAGGGAACCCTTACTGATGAAAGCATCCAAGGTCTTTAAAAGCAGTTTGAGAAAAGGAGTATTTTTGGCAGTATTTAGTTCCAAACTGCGTACGACTTTGGAGATCAAGTCAGTGTTTTTTCAAATTGAAGCCAAAACACAGCCAGTACAGACAGGGAACAGGGGCTTTGCATCACTCTTAAGGGCTACTCAGAACAAATCTCCCCTCCACAAGTTTCTCTCTCTTTGACAGACCTTGTTCTGGATGCAGTTATGCGATAGGAGGCCTCGTGCTCCATCCACCATCCTGTTGGAAACAGCCCGATTCAGGACGGCAGCCAGAACAGCGCCATGCACTGACCCTGAGAGGGGAGCGGGTTAGTGCAGTAATACCACTTTAGTCAAACTCATTTCTGCCCAATATTTAAGATTCCTACCACCCCAGTTTCCAGTAGTTATTGCCTCTAACTTAAAACCCTTTCTTTAGTCCTTGCTGTTACGTGGCTCAGTTGGTTGGAGTGTCAGCCCATAAACCGAAAGGGTTGCCGGTTTGATTCTGGTCAGGGCACATGCCTGGGTTGTGGGTTCTGTCCCCTGTTGGGGCACATGCAAGAAGCAACCGATTGATGTTTCTCTCCCTCCCTTTCCCCTCTATAAAGTCAATAAGCCTGTTTTCCAATGAGAATTTAAAAAAAAAACCACAAACAAACCCAAACCCCTTCTTTAACAGAAACAAAGGAACTCAGGTTTTTACTTCCAGCTGCTAGCATGGAGGCAGCACCCACCTCACCACTGACATAGTCAACACATACCAAATGGCATTCTCTGAAAGCGGCATTTAGACATCCCATTGTTTTCAAAGATTTAAAAACTGTCATTCTAATTCTTAGAGTTAAGGGCCATTTGCTAACTATGCATAGAACAGAAACACAGACTTTTGCCCTAAGTTACATCACGAATGTAAAGTTCACCATAATTTAGTCTGTAGGATTTCAAATCACTTGTTTTTCAACCATGTACAGTGATTAATCTGTGTGACAAACTGTGCTGCAACTCTGAAGTCAAGAGTAACCACACCAATCTAAAAAGCAGCCAATCCAGAGACTCAGAAGCACATTTTTAAGGAAAAAGCTTTGGTTTAACTTCTTTTTACTTTTATAGATTCTGGGTGCATTTTTTTAAGAAAGAAACAAAACCCAGTGATTTTTTTTCCCTTAATGTTTCTGTTACTGCGTCCAATCTTTATCCCAGCTTTATTTAGAGAGTGGAACTTCTAGGTTTGTAAATACCTGTGGCAAAATCTACCTCTCGTAGTAACTATCAAAAACACTTCGGTAAGCCCTGGCTGGTGTAGCTCAGTGGATAGAGCGCGGGCCTGTGAATCAAAGGATCCCGGTTTGATTCTCAGTCAGGGCACATGCCTGGGTTGCAGGCCGGTTCCCTGCAGGCCAGTTCCCAGCAGGGGATGCACAAAAGGCAACCATACATTGATGTTTCTCTCCCTCTCTCCTTCCCTTCCCCTCTAAAGATAGATAGATAGATAGATAGATAGGGGATGCACAAAAGGCAACCATACATTGATGTTTCTCTCCCTCTCTCCTTCCCTTCCCCTCTAAAGATAGATAGATAGATAAATAAATAAATAAATGCAGTAAATGTTTATTAAAAAAACAACAACAACTTAGGTAAAATTCTTTTTACCTAGAACTAAAAGATCTGTAATGCAAATGAGAAGTTTTTTTCCCCACACACAATCTTCCGAAAGATTGTAACTATGCTTTTAATTTAAATTCCCTAAAGTTCTTATAATTGAAACATGCTGTGCTTCTCTATTAACTTAAGGAACCAGGGCAAAGAAAACAGAAAATTAAATTCTACTACTCTCCTACACTTGGGGAGGACAAAAACTTAAAAAGATTTCCTTAAGAGAGCTTCCAAAGTTACTGAAATCTACTGCTGACATTTATAATAAAACTAGCCCAATGAAAGTGTTTGCTTCTGAAATCTGGAGCAGAAAAGAATATTAAAATGTTGAGGTGGGCAATGTGGGGTCCTAATTGCTGAACTCGTATCACATGCCAGGATCCAGGGGGCTAGGGATGTAGCTGACACACAACAGTACTTGAATTTAATGCTTGTTTGTGTACTGGGGGGAAAAAACCAGGCGACACCTGAACCTTTACAGATCCGTCCCAATTCAGCTGCCTGAATTGTTACTTGGAAGGCTTAAGGATTTTCAAAGCAAACTGTTTGCTAACTCAGTAAAGAGTGCAGGTTCACTGCTGCTTGTGGAGAGAAAGCAGATCCTAAAAGACAGGTCCTTTCAGAAGTCATACAATGGAGGCAGAAGGCAGAGGCCTAAATGCCAGCCATTAACTTATAAAGGTTCAAGAGATGTCAAAGGGCCGTTCTTAAGAGGCCACCTTCATTAGATAGCTGAAGAGGCTTTATTGAAAAATGTGATGAATTGGTATCTAGATTGTATTTTCTGTAAAACTGTGACTTATTATCTAATGTTAAACTTTCTCCTGTCCTCTGGAGAAAAAAGAGCTCGTTATAAAAATGACTATGTGTGTAACTCTGAGTACAGTGCTTTCTCCAGAGGGGTCAGGCTAAGAACATGAAAACCAAATAAAGGGTTTTTCTTTTCTAATGATAACATTTTTAAAAACCTTATGGGTCATGTGTTACTCAGATATCTACTTCCTAAAGTAATTAAACCTGCTTTATTAAAACACACACTCCTCCCAAACCAACTTTCCCCAATTAACTGACTACCATATATTACTGTCCCTTTATTCAAGTGTGTATTAAAAAGGAAAGGACATGCATAAGGACACTACTAGAATATCTCTACAGTTTGTACTTGACTTCCACTGAATTCTTTTTACACTTTGCTTACTACCTGTTAAGCAAGAACCGCCATTTCTCTCTGCCACTGCCCATTCATGATTTCCTCCCCGTCAAATGAAAATAATTAAGAATATTTTTAAAGCTGTCTGAAGTGCAACAGCTTTACAAGTTAATAAAAACAAACACAAATAAGAATACCGCAGGGATCACTAACTCTATTTTACAAGTGGGAAAGATAAGCAGAGAGAGATTAAAACACTTGTCCAAAATTATATGACTAGTTACTGGCATGAGTATCTGCAATTTTTGCCCCAAGCAGCTAAAGGCCAGAGCACCACTGGCTGTGAACACGGACATCTGGTGCACTATTTGCAAACTTTCTTACCCTTCTGTAATCAACTTTTCCTCTTCTTCCATTTCTTTTCTCCCTGTTTTCCAGGTTTAGCAGAGGACCTTAAGTACTTCTTAACGATCCTTTTACTAGCACTCAGACAGAAAGTGGTGTTGATTTATGACCCTGAAAAGTGGCTGTAAATGTGTGGTCCAAGATTATACTGTCAACAAAAACCTTGTAGAACAGTGCTGTCCAACAGAACTTTCTACGATGTTGGAAATGTTTCATATCTGCACTGATACAGTAGCCACTCACCTCATGCCTTCTGAGTGCTTACAATGTGTGCAGTACAATTAAGAAGCTGAATTTTAAGTCTTATTTAAAATTTCAATTTAACAGTTACATGTGGCTAGAGGCTATCATATTAGCACATTCCTAGAGTCACTGGACAATCTCCTATCATATTAATGACAACACATATACCTTTATTATTGGTATAAATAACACGTTATTTGCTAAAATATTTCACTGGAATCTTCAGAAGCAGGACCATCATTCCCATTCAAACTAATTATTTTGAATTTCTTCTCCCCTTAGAATTAAACAACACGTAGAGCAGAATACAGTCAGTCAGTCCCTGACTTATGATGGTTTGATTTTATGGCGATGTGAAAGCAATATGCATTCAGCAGAAACCATACTTTGAATTTTGATCTTTTCCTGGGTTGGCAGCATGTGGTACAATACTCTCGTGATGCTGGACAGTGGCACCTGGGCCACGGCTCCCAGCCAACCACATGATCATAAAAGCAAACAAACGATACTCTGCAGTGAGGCAGCAAATGCATTTTAGTACTGACTTACAATATTTTCAACTTCCAATGGATCTATCATAAGTTGAGGAACACCTAGTCCATGGCATGGATTCTGGCTGTACTTGAGCTGAACAAATTTGACCATTCAAAAGATACTCTCCTATATTCAGATTCACCACTTAGATTTGTAACACAGTGATTTCTCCAGCTGTCTTGGTTCCTTTTTCCCACCACAACCCATGGTAGTAAAGAATATAAACCCTACACATACTAACTCTCAAACACAAGGCTTCTTGGTCACAATAAAAGCATCAGGTAAGCCACCACCTCTATCCTCCCTTCTCCCATGAGGTATTCATTTGCCCATGCAGCTTACAATTCCAACAACACTGAAATGAGTGAAGCCTGAAAGATAAACCCACAGTTTGTCATTCTATGCAGTTGTTGATGACCTAAAAAGGACCTGGCAAATCTGAAAAAGGAGTAATTGTGCTTAAGAGTGGTAACATACAATGTATTATTTCCAGCTAAAAGAGACTGGAAGGTAACACCCTACCAGCCTCATGGTGCTGAGTGCTTGCCTATGTCTGGAGCTACACCTCACTCGGTTCTGCACCCAGACCCCAGAGCGGTTCACCTTGAAACTCTGTGTTGTCAAGGCCCCTGATGGCCTCCACCGCATCCTCTGCCCGCTCCATGTGTACGAAGGCATAATCTTTCACGATGTCACATTCGATGACTGGACCATACTCCTCAAACTTGGCTCGAAGCTCTTGGTTGGTACAGGTGGGACTGATGTTGCCCACATGTAACTTGGTTGAAGCTTTGCTCTTATTCTTGCTGGCTTCCACATTGATGTTCACCCCGTGCAGCTTGTAGTGGTGCAGGTTGCGAATGGCATCCTCTGCCGCGGTCTTATCCTCTATGTGCACGAAGCCGTAGTTCTTAATGATGTCACATTCCAGCACCTTGCCATACTGCTCGAAAAGTGAGCGTATCTCCTGCTCTGTGGCCTCTCGGGGCAGGTTTCCAATGAACAGCTTCACCATCCTGACAAGAGCCTGGGAGAGAAGAAAAAAAGGTTTCCAAAAGTTAGGGATGGAGCAGGCAATCTCAGTGCATTCATTACCTTTGGTTTACTTTTCCACAGAAGTTCCTAGCACCTTCGAGACCTTCATATAGACGTCCGTTAGTCCGTTATTTTTTTTCTCAATAGAGAAGGAAAGATTTGTTCTTAAAGAGTAGTGTGACGTGAAAACAGGGGGTCGGGGGTCAGCACGTACTGCATTCTCTATCATCTCCACGAAATGAGGCGCCTTTGAGTAACACGTTTAGCTGTTTCATATCTTGAAATACTCTCTGTGGGGCAGGAAAGAAAAGAGCCCAAGGCAGGGCCAAGAGACATCTACCTGAGAGTCCCTGGTCACAAGGTTTTGGAGGGAAATCTGTGTACCTCTCCTACGTGAGGATTCACCTTTCAAAATACTCTAAGAATAAAAAGGCTCCCTTGGCCCAAATCTGGCGACCCCCACACCCACCCCAGAAACACAACCTCCAGCTTCTTCGCCCCAACAAAGACTCGACCCGACCCCTGCCCCGCCCCCTCTGGAGACCCAGCCCCGCCTCCTGCCGTTGTCTTCCCCCGACCTCCCCCAGAGAAGAAACCCAAACCCAGGGCCACTTCCATCCGCTGAGACTCGGGCTGACCCACTTCATCTAGCCCTCGGACTCCCCATACACCCACGAGACCCCCTCCTACCTCCGAGTAGCGGCGGCGGTGGCAGCGGCTCTCGCGTCAGAGAGAACGCTACAAAATGGCGAAGGCCGCTGGAGCCTCGGCGCGACCCGGCCCTTTCTCGCGCGCCAACTCACGCACGCGCGAATGCGCGCTACCTCTCCCCTCCCCTTGCGGACCGGACGACCAATCCCACGGCTGCATGTAAATGACTGCCCTAAAGTTCGGCTCCCCAACGTCCGACTCGGGGGCGTGGCCAGCTGGTGACGGCACCGCGGGCGGAGGTCAGCCCGCCCCCAGCCCTGAGTAGCCAATCAACATTCTGGAAGGGGGGGCTGTTGTTCACACGTCACAAGGGCTCCGGACGCAACCATTGCCTTGGTGAAATCAGAAGGCCAGGGTGTCACTAGCCATCACAATGGATTGGTGCTGTAAAGGCCTGCAGAAGCGGGGGTGAGGGCGGTCAGCTGATGATAAAGGGTTATCTCACTGGGTCCCCTAAAAAGGGGCTTATCTTAGCAGGCTGGCCAACCTGTAGTTCAGCTTGGGACATTTTAGAAATACAGACGCGCCACATTTTAAGCAAATCTAGCCTTTTTTTGGTAGTTTTAAACATGATTTAAAAATTATTTTTCATTACAAACATGTTATTCATTAGTGATGAAACAGGGCCAAAGAGAGCAGAGCTGGACTGGTTCTAGGAAGCATTCTATGCAGGCTCCCCTTAGTCGTGTTCTGTTCTGTTTATTCTTGTATGTACGTGGGCTAGTTTTCTTTCTCTAGCGACTTCACAGTTCCTGGCCTGTGGTGAGCACACCAAAGGAATACTTGGTGCAAAGGCCCAGAGAGGTTCCTTGATTTGGGTGTAGTACAAGGCCTTCATGTCCACACCAAGCTGCCAGACAAGGAATCAGTGAGTCCCAGGGCACTTTCTTGTGTTAAAATTTATCTGTGGTCCAAGGGCACCTCCTGGTGGCAAAAGGGAAGCTATTTGGTGGAGTACTCATTGTCACCCGTAAACAACGAATAGACGTTTATGAAGATTGATGGACCGAGTTTATCTCGGAGTAGAGCATGCCACGGTGATTGTCAATCTCCATTCCTCACTTGTGGTGGCTCGGTAGAATCTTTTCTGATACCAGCAGGCACAAATTCCTGAGGCTGACCTCTTTCTCCCCTGCAACTTGGATATGTTTCTTTCACTGAGTTCTTTCAGAAGAAGCACCTTCCTTGCAATTTTAACATTCGTGCTTATTTCCCACGTGATTCTATCCACCTCTCTCCTTCCCTTCTCCTCTCGGTCATTTCCAGTTTCACTCTACAGTCAGAGATTTAAAACGTGTAGGGACCTCCTCACCCATTTCTGACATAGCTTTCAATCATCTTCACCATTCTGACTTCTCAGACGGAGGGTCTGAACTTACTGTCATCCACCTTCATACACCGTTTTGGGTTCTGTTCTTTCCAATTCTCAGAATTTCCTGAGGTCACCAAAACTAATGTCCTTTGGACAGTTTTCACAATTTGAAAAGTTTCAACTCATTCACCAACCTTTTGCCCTCTGTCTTTACACTATTTCTTCCCAAACCTCTGACTGCACCATTCTATTTCCTTCCTCCATCTATTTCCCTACTCTTTTTAAAAAATACTTTATTTGTTTATTTAGTTTTAGAGAGAGGGGAAAGGGAAGGAGAAGGAGTGGGAGAGAAACATCAATGTGTAGTTGCCTCTCATGTGTCCCCCCACTGGGGACCTGGCCTGCAACCCAGGCATGTGCCCTGACTGGGAATCGAACTAGCAACCCTTTGCTTCTCAGGCCCACACTCAATCCATTGAGCTATACCAGCCAGGGCTATTCCTCTACTATTCCCTTTTATCTCCTCTCCCCTTCCCCCACAGGCAACCGTTCGAATGAGATCAATGGGTGTTATTTTGTTTGTGTTCTTCCAAGATGTGTCTTTTTAGTACATTTGCTTTTTCCATTTAAAAACTGTTCTATGTGAAAATTTTCAAAAAGGCACAAATAGAGAATATTATGATGAACTCCTATGGACCTTTTACCCAGATTAACAGTTATCAACATTTTGCCCATACTTTATCTATCCCTCTACTTTTGGGGAGAGGACGGGCTGGAGTTTTTAAAGGCAAATCACAGACATAATGTCATTTCTCTTATTAGAACTTTAAGATATGTTCTAATGAAAACATCCAGTGTTATGTTTTTTAATTATTATAAAAATATTTTATTATTTCCTCCTAAAATTAGCAGTATGTACACAGTGCTCAAACACCATTTCCATGATTGGCATTTAATAATTTATTGTTAATATGATTAATAATATTTTTGTTAATATTAATATTTATTTCAAATTTCCCCCAGGCTGTTGCAAATGTCTTTATACAGTTGGTTTCTTCTAATACAGATCTAAACAAGGCCCACTGATTGTGCATTTAGGTAAATTATTGTAATTTATGTAAACGCTTATGTAAATCATGTTGAACTCGACACAATTTTTTTCACTGTTTCCTTTTTCACTAAGTGCTGTGTTGTGTCGTATCTAACCACTGAGTGAATAGTCCATAGTGTGCAATCCCCATATCTTACCTACCCATCTCTGGGTGCAGGATATCAGGTTGCCTCCAACCCCCCCCAGCCCCTGCCATTATCAACAAGGTTGGAATTAACATCCTTATGTTAATTATGAATGCCCTAATGGATCCCGTGTGAGAATTTGGGGAAGAGCGAACCCATGGTCAAATTGCTAGGTTTTGGTCTGGAAAAACTGTACAGTCTGCCCTCCCACCTACACAGCACGAGGGTTCCTGTGTTTCAGTGTCTGTCCTGTTTGTTGTCATCCACTTTCCTAATTTCTATCTGATGATAAAGTGACACATAAACAGTTGCTTTAACTTGCGTTTCTCTGATTACTTGGTGTTTTTGCATTTACTTTTCTGTGAATTTCCTATTCATATCTTTTGCTCCTTCTCTTGTCGACCTGCAGGATTTTCTCACCTATTTTACATATCAGTATCTCATAGGTTTTGAGTATGTTCTTTCATTCCACCAAATGAAATGTTACCTTGGTATCCTTCATTGAACAGAAGTCCTTAATTTTTTATGTAATGAAATTAACCAATTTGTAAAGTTTATGCTTTTGAACTTTTGAGTAAGTTTTCCTTTTCAACCCCGAGTCACATATATATTCTCCTACATTTTCTTCTATTAACATTAATATTTTTACCTTTCGCTTGTAGGTCTGTAGTCCACTTTTACCAGTGCTGTTCCAAATAGAAATATGCGAGCCACAGATGTAATTTAAATTTTTCTAGTAAACACGTTTAAATAGTATGAACTTTAATACTTTTGAAACCTAATATAGCTAAAAGATCATTTCACCATATAAGCAATATAAAAATTCCCAATGAAACATCTTAAATTCTGTTCTTCCTCTTCAGTGTCTGAAGTCCTGTGAGCAACTTTGCGCTCACAGCACATCTCAGCCCAGACCAGCCACATTTCCGGAGCTCAGACGCCTTGCATGGCTCGCAGCCTGTGTCACACAGTGCGAATCCAGTTGTCACCCTTGGAGGTGGTGTTAGGCAAGAATGCAAACATACTTTCCTCTAAACAATCAATACATGTCTTTCTGTCCCTCTGGCCCCATTGATATGTGGTGCCTGCATTATTGTGGCTCTAACCTGTCTCAGGTCCCTCACTGCTCCCTACCATTCTGTCGTCTTTCTTGGAACTTTTGATCTACTTATGTGTGAGGGTGTCTCCCAAGACTTACTTCCTGATCTTGTGCTTATCACCTTCTGTGTCCTGTCCTTGAGGCTCCATGCGCTGTGGGAGCTTCAGCCGCCATGTGTAAGCATGTGACGTTCAAACACCATTTCCATTCCTTCTCCACGCACAGGGACTGGCTGCCCTCTTCGGGACCCTAACCTGGCTGCCCTGTTCTACATGTTAAGATGATAATTTCTCCATTCATTTCTCACCCCCATGAACATTTCCTCCTAAAATTTCCAATTATTCTGTCCCCCCAACCTCCATGCCTGCTATTCTGGCGTGTAAATACCCAGATTCCCTGAACACTCCACAGTGTATGACTTTTCCTTCAAATAGTGAACATTTTATATTTGTACCTGAAGAAAAAGAGCTTGTGGTGTGGATGGATTCTTCCATTCAGTCCCATGACAGATTGTTCTAGCCACATTTATCTACATGTTTCCTGTGGATATACCCGTTTTTCTCAAGAGAAAGGGATAATCATTTCATGGGCTATCTGGTCTACCAGATCTCATGGCTGGAGACCATTCCGGGGCTGTGTTGTGCTAGTCCTGAGCCTGCACACACCTGACCATGACCTGACCCTGTCATTGTCAAGGCTGCTGACGTGTCACGCCTGACCCAGTTCAGCCATGGCTCTCGTCCCGTAACACTAAAGATGTTACTTTGCTTTCCTGGAACGATCATCTCTGAGCCCCAAAAATAAACGGTCATTTGTGTGAGAATGGAAAACAATGAAAGAGCTAAGTTTTTCCTGTAGAAGGCCACCAAGGTCACCATTGTCCTCAAACCTCTAATTGCCAAGTCAGAGACAAGGGGGATTCCTTTTTTATACTTCGAGAGATCTAGCATACTCTCCTGTGTGTGTCTGTGTGTTTACACACTTCAGGTGTACCTCGTGGCTTCCCAGGGTGTCGTCATTCTGTTGGTCAGTGGACTTGGAACCTGCCGCCTGTCTAATCCCTAGGTGAATGCCCTTGACCCTCTCCACTGGGGAGGGCACCTCGTGTGCGCTCTGTTCTCCGCTGTCGGGCTGAGCAGTGGCTGAGACTAGGCTTTGGCCTTGTTCTTCAGTCTTTCCTTTTTTTCTTTGTCTTTAGTTTTTGAAAACAGTCGAGAGACTCATGAGTGAAGACAGTTGTGCACCAGGGAAATAGTTGTTCACTGCTGTTTAACATTAATCTGCTTGTTAACATCATCCTGACCCACAGTGAACTTCTTTGGTCAAAAAAGAGGCTTGACACGGGTCAACCCTGCAAACCAGAGGCCATTATCAAAATAATGTGGTTCTCCAAGGGCTTGGAGGCTGGGGACAGAGCGGAAACCTGACCTACCAG